TTGGAACGTATTCAACTTGTTTTTGTCCTTGAGTTTGGTGCTGAGTCCTCCTTTTCTGGTTGTTTCTCCTGCAGGTGAGTCTGGTTGTTTATATGTTTTTATAATTATTATTGTTATTTTGTTAAATACATGTTTTAACTACCAGCACCCTCCAACAGGTCTCCTTTGGAGGTTTGTTAGGCCCTAACAGGTTTCAATTGGTGACCTGTTGGAGGTGCTGGTATATATGTATGTTTACTTGCATGAACATCCTTGTGCTTAGCAACAGCACTTGCAAGACTGACTAAACTGACTAAACTGCAGCGCAGAACTCAGGACCTTCCGATCCTTGCTGGAAGCGAACATCTCCTATTGCCTCTTAGGAGATGATGGGCCCTACCGGCAATTGCTCGGTGCACATGAGGGTGGGGATCCCGCTTCGCTGAAGGCATTCAAAGAGAAGCACCTCGGTAATAATAGGGCAGAAGGAAATCTGGAACGAATTAGATGGCACAGCGACAGACGTGGTGAACATACGAATCAAAGACTTATGGAGCATCTTTGAACCACGGCCTGTGAAATCAGGTAGCGCCGGAGATGTTCACATGATTTCTTTGGCGATTGTTCTGTGTTTTGCTATATCTAGACCAGGTACATGCCTTTCTTCGTGGAAGACTTCCGCTGGACTTCCCAAAACTATGCCTCCATGGCCTCCCGCGTTCCCGAGCTCCGCCGCTGGTGGTCCCTGGCGGAGCCCCTGCGCGCGGTGCTGAGCACCGCGGAGCGCGGTGAAGGCGGTGCGCCGACGGCGGTAACGCTGGAGGAATTTGCGGAGCGCATTGATGCAGAGGAGAAGACGTCTGGCAAGGACCGGGCAGGAACCCACACCTCAAAGAGACGGTTCGAATCGAGAAAAAGAAGGTCACTTAATTAGCAAACATGTATCAGATAGGGTTTAGGGTCATAGGCATATCCAAAAGATCACTGAGATAAGGTGCTGGTTGAGATTTGAGGTCTTGTGATTTGAACGAGTTGTTGCCCAGACAGCCATATGAAACACATATATGTTGATGCACTTGATCATTTCGATGTGTTTGGTAGTTTGCTCCATATAATATATAGTACTCTTTCTTGGGGATGTCGTAACGCCAGAAGATCAAGGTGTATCGTCAGATCCTGCGTTTTTCATCAGCCGTACAGTGTTCTCCAAAAATACGCTGCATGTTTTTGTTTGTTTTTCCATCGCATGGGTGCCGTTTGATCAGAACAATGTTTTCCAGGACAGGACAGTTAAGGTTGGGTTCAGGCGGCACCGTCCCAGCATTATTGTAGCTGTTTTTTAACCTGTGGGTTTAGTTAGTTCGCTTATGATTTTGAGGTGGTCGCGACAAATCACATATGTGGGTTTTTTCATGGTTCTTGGATTGGACAACCCAACACTGTCTCCTTGGTGCACGTCACCGGTGGTTCCAGCAGTTGGGGCGACGACGGACGTCTCAAGTCTGATGCGCGGACGCGGAGAAAACGTCGCTGGATGTTCGCGGACAGGAGCTGGTTTGGAAGTCCTTTGAGGAGATCTTCCAATCCAAACTCACACCCATTTTCCGGCAGCAGATGCAGCTTCTGGAACCGCAGGAGACTGGCAGGGTGGTGCCTTCAGATGTTTTTAATGTTCAGCTTACTTGCACTGACCAATCTGTTTCGATTCGTTGAATCGTTGAAACCACTGCAGGAGAGCTTGTTCCGTGCTTTCGCGCGCTACATGATGGGACAATGCGCCCCTTGATCAAAGGCGACGCGATTCGTGGGACCAGCGCCAATGGCTGTTAAGGATGTTGCTTTATGTAAGGATCCAAGTGGTGAGAGTGGTTCCTTTGTGTCTTCGCCTGTGGTAGGTCATGACATGGACATGTTTTTGCGGCCTTCATGTATGTCTTTGGTCTTTCATGTAAAGTATGTTCAAGGTATAGGGCTTTCATGAACTTCATGTCTTGAATTGCTAGAGTTGCTTCGCCTATAGCGGCAGCATCGGGAAATTTGGGTTCGGGGATATAGATCTATCACAAGGCCAAACAGTAGACAGTCAATGTTTGGATCATGACAACAATATAGTGGATTGAGAATAGATGGCACATACCCCAAGAGGTGGTTTATATGGACCTGCATCTAAAGGACATCATGGGGTCTGTGCCATCTACTCTGAAGCCACTGTACAAACATGGAATGAATCCAGCACTGCATTCCTTCCAACGGATTCTTGACCTTCTAGTCTTATAACTTATGAGTTCCAAATCTCTGCCCTCTTTAAATCAAATCCCACACATCTTCCCGAGGCTGGTCCCGAGTTTGACCCATCGACTGGGAGCAGCCCAGGTGCTTTTTGCTCGTTTCAACTTCTTGCCAGAGTCACTTGGATGGGGAGCTCAAACGGAACTGGCAGATTTTTTTGTGCTTCTCGATCCTTTTGCAAGAGCTCTAAACCAGTCCCTAAACCCTAAAGCCCAGTGGTGTATATAACCCATTTGTTTTGCATTCCGTCTCATGCATGTTGTATTATGTTGTGTATGATTGTGTGTGTGTTTTGTTTCGCCTGGCATCCACTTTTGGGTCCTGAATGCAGACCCCGGGACCGTTCAAAAGCCCTTTACAAGGAGTTCCTGGTGTTGTTCCGAACCGAACAGTCGGTCCACCGGAAAGTGCCACGGTCCACTCTGGGAGAGCAGACACTCACCATGCCGGCCCGTGACACGGGCCGCCCCCGGTGAGCCACCGCGGCTGACGGTGGCCACGCGAGGGCGGAGACTTGCCACAAGGAGATCCTGCAGGCCGATCTCGGGGACGGAACACGTTTTGCAGAACAGAACGAACACGTCATACCACTACTCACTACTCCTTCCTCCTTCTTGTAGGGTGTGCAACTGGGCAACTGGAATGTCCCGTGCATTTGCAGGTTTGAGCGCCGTTTTGGACGTGCAGTGAGGCCCATTTTTATCCATGGAGGCCCATTTTTATCCATGCCATGCTTATGTCATGTGTGATAGGTCATTGGAGTCATTCTAGTTCACCGTACTCACCCCAACGTTCCTATTACCTAGCCCTGGATCGAAAATTTGACTGAACACAATCATTTGTTGCTCTTCGAATTGATCAAACACGTCCATCCAGAATTTGTGAGAACGCCACGCAACATTCAGCTCTCAGCTTCTTCAAAGTACCCGTCCTTGACATCCCAGGATTTTCGGTCACTTATCGCCTGCAAAGGGTCACAAACAGAGACTCCGAGGTCATGAACTGAAGGTCCTGGTTGATCCCTTCTAAGATTTCGGGTGGGTTTAGAGGGTCCTGGCATACCTTGTGAGGAGGTATGCCGGGAGTCTTGAACCCATCAGAATCTCCCGATTCCGCTGGAGGCCATCGCTATTAGTAGGTTGGAGGTCATCACCATTAGGTTGAAGGCCATTGCTAGAAACAAATCAATTCCAAAAAGGACACGTAAACATCGATAGGTTGATCGCCAGGTCCTGACCGAGGCTGCGAGGAACTCCTCGCCCCCGCGTTTGGGCGAGGAGGAACTGCACCGTGCTCGGAGCCACTATGCGCCTCGGCGCGGCACAACGCGCGTGGGGAGAGAGCAGGGGGAATCGGTGGACGCAGGCCGAAGCGGGGAGAGGAGTCAAGAGTCAATGGTCTAGGTAGGTGCAGGTGCTGTTCTGCTGCGGGTGGGCAAAGAAACGTCGAAAGGGGTGAGTTCACGAGAAAGGCAACTCTAAAAAGTCTAAGACCATTTGGTCTGTAGCCACAAGGTTCCTTTCCAAGATTCCAAAGACATCTTTGTTGCGCTTTTGCGCACCATTCATTGTGTGGTCTAACACTGAAGCATTTCCTTACAGGATTGATCCAGTACCTCTCCCCTTTGCAGTTCAGGAGAGCTTCGTAGATTTGCTTCTGGAGCGACAGCTCATCACCTTGGACGATGCCAAGACGTTCAAGGAGGAGCGCATGGCACGCGCGTGCGGTGCGCACAGAACACATTGTTACCACGGGGAAGGAGTGGATCTTGCGTCCCAATGTGAACGTATGGTAACTATAGACCCATCTCCACGAAAGGGGAGCGGGGAGCGAGTGCATTTTTCAGAGGTGTGAGCCGCCCAAGTGAAACCGTGGACAGCTTTTGTTGCTACAATTATATGTATGTCCTTGTTTTTTTTGTCGCAAGGTCAGTCAACCCCCCCCAGATGCTTCTCCAGATGTGTTCTAATTGTTTACGTCATGAGGACTGTCGTGAGGGTGATTGACCACCAGATAGCTCGCCCTTGGAATCCGAAAGACAACAACAGTTGCTTCATTGCTAAACGGATTAATCCTCTGAGCTCTGGAGGCCTTGAGGATTGAAAGTCTGAGTGGGTTGGTTGGTGTGTTGATTGGATATATGTTTCATTCCATGTTCATTGGTCGTTGGTGCTGCGGACGCTGGATGCTATTCTTGGACAAGGATACAAGGATCTACACAGTGTATCAGTGTATGGCAACGATCTCATGGCCACCACATGCCACCACCCACAAAATCAGAAAAACAAAACTAGCTGAAAGCAGTTGGTCGCTTGGTCTTGGGGCCCTTGAACGTAATTTTCTGGTCCAAGGGGGGCCACTGTGGCACTGCCAGGTGTGCCCTCTCTTCGATCCCTGCTTCGCAGCCTATGACGAACCGCTGTCACACTACGAGCAGCTGCAGAAGGTCCGGGCGACTCATTAGGCTTAGGTCCCTGGCGGAAGTCCCACCCCGAACATGGGGCGCTTGCCCCGACCGAATTTCATCGAACATTGGTTCAAGACAGCCATCACCTGGGAGAAGTTTTCATGGTTGTTACTAGTAGACTAGTGACTAGTAGCGTTCTTGTTCCTAGTAGGAATGCCAGGAGCTACTAGTAGCTTCTTGCTCCTAGTAGCGATTCTCCTTTGTTCCTAGTAGCTTCTTGTGCATGGTGTCTGGGTGTACCCAGCCGCGCTCAGGTGAGTCAAGAGATCATCGGTGAGTCTCCATCAGGCAGGGCTTTGCAATGCTTCCAACCAGTCAACGTGTGTGCAAAGAAGGAACACCGGCATGAACTGTGGAGGTTGCCGGTGGCCACTCATCATGTCTGGTTGTCGACCCGAACTCGTTGGGTCAAACGATCGCGATGGGTTGGGGCATCCCGTCCCCACGGACTCTTCCACGGTTGGAGTGAGCCAACATGAGCCACGAACCAGCAGCCATCGCGCAGTGTTTGATGTATTTTAAGATATTGTGCAGCAAAATTGCCTATTCTATCTTATGAACGGTCAGAAAGAGGGGATGTTCCAAGTATATGATTAAATAAACATCATCCAACATGTCACGATCACTTTCCCAAGCGACCTGGAGACCTAGCGTGAGGTGAAGTCTACTCTAAGTCCCAAGCCAGCTTTGCAGTGCTCAAGTCCTCCGTGATGTCAATCCTCCACCTTCATTGAGTTTCCTCAGATGTGACATCCGGTGAAGATCGCTTCCCCAGGAGGCTACGGAAGGAAGTCTGAACGTCCACGCAGGTCCGTTCGAAGCACCTTGGAGTGGTCACTTTTGGTCGTTGCTGCATGGTGCTTGGTCGAACTGGTGGTTAGCTGGGATGGTCAATGAATCCTCTGAAGCCTTCAATCCGTAAGCTACAAGGAGTCGTTTGTCATGGTCACTAATTACCAGAGAGTGGATAGTTTGCAGGTCAAGAATTTGTTTCCCTACGAAATAGAAACCATGGAAATCATGCAAAGGCTGGTTTTCCATTGCTACCCCGTTGTTTCGGACTTCACCAGAGGAAAGCACTACAAATTACAGATTGTGAAGATTGGATCCACTCGCAATTATCTCAGTGAATCTTTCTTTGGACTCCAACTGAAACTTGGGAGTCATTTGGCTGTGAGCTTCCTTTTTCCGTGGGTGCTTGGTTTCGGAACTACCAAGTGATACCAAGATATACCAGAACCCTCCAAGGGGTGCCCAATGGAAGCCTATAGGTAGTGTGGGGGTAGTTCATTGGACACCCCGACAGGAGGGTCCCTTGGAGGGGTTCATTGGACACCCCTTGGGGCTTGGACTGGGATGACACAGAAAACCAAACCGGACATGTCGCCCCAGAACCAACCGGGTCCTTTTAGGAGTCCCCTTTTTCTGGACGTGACGTTAGCGACCAGAGCCAGGGTTTACAAAGTTGAATGACCTTGATATGTCTGTGTAACATCTTTATAACATGAATGGTTCTTCGGAATCGGTGGTTCAACCGGCGGGTTCGAATTCCGGCAAACATTGAACATCATTGAACCGACCGGCTCAGAGATCTCTTCGCAGCGTGAACCCACGCACCGGTCCCGGTGGCCATCGGTTTGGTTGGAACGGGCACTTGACTCCGTGAGGGGTCCACGGGTCCGAGGGGAGTCGTTCTTTGTTGTTTGAAAGTTATTTGTGTGGATCTGTCCATAGCAACGCAAAGTGGAAGTCCAATCTCCGCCAAATGTGCCTTTTTGCTCAGTGACTTTTGCTGAAAAACCCGAAGACCTCACTTTTGTAGAACTGCCGACGGAACCGCCGTGTGCCCACCGGCGAAGCCGACGGCACCGCCCGAGGTCAGAAGGGCGGAGCCGGCGGAGCCCAGCTACGTACCTCGCCTGACCTGGCTACCGCGACGCGTTCGGAGCAGGGTCCATTCCTCGTCTCGCGCTGTAGAGACCTAGCTGGTGGAGTTCCAAAACAGACGACCGGGGTTTCCATTCCGGAGGCGTGACACAGCGGATGCTCATTAAATTCATTTCAAGTCTGGTGCATGTTTATTGTACATGTATTTGATGTATTTGTTTTATATTTCTACTTCGGAGTTCCATGTACTTTCGAGGTCAACATCAAGTGTCAACTTGGCGAAGCAAGCGAAGAAGGGTTGTTTGGGTGGCAACATTTTTTTGTGCCAATCATCCACGCAAGAAAAGCTGCCGCTGGCAGAAGGGGAATTCAAACACAAATACATGTGGCCTGGCAGATGGTCCAGATGGTCCAGATGGTCACCCCTTCCGCGCTCGCCATCGCGCGACCCGAACGTGCCAGGACCCTGTGACTGCTACATCAAGCATCATCTAACCTTTTATGTCGACCTGCCAGTTCCTACTGTGCCACAGAATGAGAGAACCTTCAAGCCCAGAAGCCTGGATTCCAGACACCACAGCGGTGTTGTTCATGTTTGAAGTGTTCAAAACCAACTATAGCTGGTCCGACTGCCCCCCCTTTCTATCGTCCTTTGTGTCGAAGAAAAAGGGCCCAGGAAGTGATTTCGTCCCAGGAAGTTTCGTCCAAATCAACTCACCGAGTCAGCAACTTTGAGTTACAAGGGTGGGGGGGAAAACGCCTGCCCTTGAGGTTGGGTCCCTAAGCATGGCTGAGAGGAGCACTGAGCGATTCTGCTGCAGAGCTGGTATTCTTATGTCTTCCTATATGCCACATCATGTATGTTGGATTTGTTGCATCAATTGGATCACATCTGCAATCCATCAAGGTTTGGAGCAAGGCTGCTTACCCTTGGTTTCAGAGCTTTCATTGATTGATTAGGATGATCTATTTGCCTCTTCGGTGCCTAGGCTGGCCTTGTACAGATCGCCGCAGGCCCGCCGCGTAGCCATGTGGGCCCGGCCCTGCCGTTTTCGGTTCGCCTAAGGCGCGCCGAAAGCGACGGAGATGGAGCTTGTCGGGCTGACGTGTACAGTCATCCCTGTGTGGGCCAAAAGACCTGCTCTTTTCATTGGTGAAGGGTTGCAGGGGCGAAAGTAAGGATTGAACGGAACGGCGACTGGTGACTGGTGACATGTGAGGAATCCGAAACGGTTTACCGGAGACGGCTTTTACTCATGCATCTGCAACCGGTAGATATGTTTTGACCTTCAATTGTGGCCAATGTAAGATGACATTGCTGCAATCGGCTGCAATGCATTCGTGCTTGCATGCGTTGCTACTCCATTTTCCCCAGAGTTTATCAGGCTGTACACTCCCTGAAATAATCATGCATGGTTACGGGGATGGCACCACCTATTTGGTACCAAAACCCAGAGTTCATGGTCAAAACGGAGTCAAACCGGGTCATTTTCCAATCCACGTACCATGATTTTCAGGGAGTGTATCAGATCATGCCAAATTTCCTGTTTCGGTGACTCGAAAGTTCGATCGATGGTCCCATGTCAACCCTCGACCGTCGGTGTCACAGATCCTTCCGTAACGGGTTCGTACGTGGTTCGACCTGCAGGCCCCACCGTCTGGTTGTCCACCCCAACATGTTTTCCAAGACATAGACACACGTTTTTTTCAGGGAATCTGAGGGAGTCAGCCGCAAGGCTTGAACACTTGGCTGCATCCTTTTGCCTAGACCACTTGTTCCGTCTGGGCTGTTCCAACAGTCCAGACCCTAGCTGACCCCTTCACTGCAGGGGTGGATCCGCCTAAGGTTCATAGCAGACCATACTGGCCCTTTGAGATCCATGGTCCGCATCTTCTCCTGTTAGGAACAAGAAGCTACTAGGGGCTCCTGGCATCGCTACTAGGAGCGATCGGCCGCTACGCCGCTACTAGGGCCTTCTGGCCGTACTACGAACGGAGAAAGGACGCCACTAGTAGCAATGGCCTCCACCCTATTTGTTGGGTTTTCTCGATGTTTTGAAAGCCATGCTTTTGAAGACACGCACAGATCTCACAGCCACAGCATGTGCATGTCTTGTTGGCTTTAAAGCACTCGTAGAGTAGAGGTCACTGACCTTTACCTATTATAAATGAATCCAAAGGGTGTGCCGTGGCCCTTTAGCCAAAAAACACATCTTTGGTGTCCCTCTCATGTGAAAACACGACACGTGTCCGCTCTACTTGGACCTGCTCAAGCGGCATTGTATCTGCCAAGCAGAGGGCGAGTTTCATGGTCGTGAGCTCAGGTGTCACACCAAAGGACACAAATGGAGCCTTCAAACCTGTGGCCATACAACGAAAAATACTGTACTGTAAAGACATAGAAATACCAACTCTGACCAACACTGAAACTACTGAACCTATTGGATTGTACGAGCCCAGAATCTTCCAAGATTGTGCTTTTATATACATTTGGTGTATGCTGGACAGGCCACGCTACCACGCTCCGGCCATTAGAATCTGTGCTAAAATGGAATATTGAGCTAGCTATAGTTGTCGAATGCGTCAAGTCTTCGTTCTAGAGCCGAGCCGAGCCATAGAAACCAATCTATATAAACGAACGAAACCAAGATATGACTCTACTAGGACCCTCCTGTCGGGGTGCCCAATGGAAGCCCATAGGTAGTGTGGGGTAGTTCGTTGGACACCCCTTGGAGGGTCCTGGTATGATCTCCAATACAAGGACTCACTTTTTTTGGTACATTTAGGAACCTCTATGCACTTCTGTGTGCCTTTATTCAACGACAACGCCCCTTGCACTGACTCCAAAGGTTCTCTTTCAAGAACCAAATGTGCCATTGGCCATTGGGTAGTGCCTGAGGCAAATGATCCATCGAAGTTCGACCAAATATGGAGAGCAGCCTGCGAAAAGGAGACTCTTGAAAATGAAGTGGTTGATCCAAAAGGTGCAAGTCACTGGACTAGTATTTGGTTGCTGGATTCCTGTAACTTCGCCTCCCAAATTGTGGCAGTTTGATGGTACTTTGTGGGTACACAACTGATCGATTCGAGGATTTGTGCGTCATATTTAGTTGAGAACTGACACAGAGGGCAAATCCTCAAGCTCTGGACTTCTGCCCGTGGCCATCCAAATCGACAATCAGTTCTTTAAGACGTTTTGGATAGTAGTTCCTTTGAGTAGCCTTGTATTAACCTGACCAAAAGCTAGTGAGCAAGCGGCAAGTATCGAGTAGTGAAAGACAACCTAGACCTGACCAGAACCACCTGAGAGGAGATTCCAGCTTTGAACAGGGTTGCCCTTTATTGGTGTTATGGGCGGGGCGGCAGCTCAGACTGGTTCATTGGCAGGAGATGCTCTCCTGGCAGAGTCCAACCACACTGCTGAAGCCCCGGACTCAGCCAAGTCCAATGACGGCAGTTGGCAGTTGTAGCATCAAACAGCGCTAGCCACTGTGGCGTTACTGTACCGAACAGGGTTGAACAAGTGTGGCTTTTGTATGTTGTGCTGCTTCAAGGGTCGTTTCTCAACGTTTTGCTTTGCTGTTTCGTGTCTTAAAAAAGATAGCAATAATATCAAAAACAACATAAACAATCTATATACTACTGACGGTCCTATTCTCCCACCTTCTAGTTGTTCTGAACGTGGTCGCAGTTCATAATCCCCTCATGTGCCCCATTATAGATCATCCGGCTGAGCTGACAAGAGGGTGAGCAACACGCCATCAGTTGTGACCATCATGTTGGGGGTGTATGCACCTTCCACACACCAGCAACATCCAGCAGCATTGTGGATGATGCGTTTGTAGACGATTGTATTTGCCATCAGCTGGGCAAGTGTAGGTATATATTACTAAAACATCGACTGTCATATTCCCAATCTCATCAATCCAGTCATTGTGAGAGTCATGTCGATATCCCATTTGGATGTGTAGTTCAATTGGGGGGGGCCAACCAATGGCTCTTTTGGTCTATTTCTGTTCTTCTGGGGGTTGGTTGAGTTGGTTCACAAGTGGAGACCTCCCAAAAAGCCCAATAATTACCTCTGGGTCTCTCTGGAAAATTGGGGTGCTTCGTATTGTCTTGAATGTCGGGTCACCAAAGCTCCAAGCTTTGAAGAAAGACCTATACCTTGATCAGCTAAAGAAGATAAGTTTTTCCCGGAGGTCGCTGGACTTGCCAAACAACGCCTCTTCCCAAGACCCTTGCAACCATGTGTTTTTTACCGCTACTAGCTCCTGGCATTACTAGTGACAAGAAGCGAACGTAGCAAGGTGCAACACCCGTGGCTCCAAATGACCTAAGCTCGGTCCAAACCCACCTGGGGGGCCGAGACCTCTGCTCCTTCTCTCGGTCCGTGGGGCCGCGGCACTGACCTCAGGAGCTTGCAAATGCCCCTGGGACCTCCGGAGGCTCCTGGAACCGACTCGCGCGGATCGAGCGGTGCGATGCGTTCGGGTGAAGACGAAAAACATGGGGAGTGAGTGGATGTGCTTGTACTTGGCGGATTAGGCAGGAACCCTGTGTTGATTGGATGGAAAACACACGGCTCGTGCAGCTTGTAGTACGAAGTGAGAGAGGCTATTTCCGGCCGAAGGACACCACATGAGGTTCTTTCCGGGAAAGGCGGCCCCGGCTTCTAGCAAACTCGGTGCATTGAGCCAGCTCAGCTTGACCCCGCGGGCAGGAGGTGATTCTCGGGAAAAAGTCAGGTTCCTGATCAGCAGATGCAAAGAACATGTCAAAACACGTTTGCCTTACACAGCAATTACAAGGGACAGAAACCAAGCATTTGGATACCCAGTTTGACGCCCATAGAAGACCAGATCCATATCTAAATGATCTGATTTTATCCCGGAATGCCAGCCAACATCTATTGCCCATCTCCAAGCATGTGGATTGCAAGAAGAACACATCATCCCTCCAGTCACCCTCTACAGCTTTTTGTCTCGGGTCAGTGGAACACGGATGGGTTTGGACTGACCATTCTTGACTTCAATCCAACCCCCCTTGGCGCGGCGCCGGACTCCGCGGGGTTGCGCGGAAGCGCGGAAGCGCGAACGCTCGCGACGCGGAGTCGTCGTCAGGAAGGAGGTCCCTTCTATCGCGCGCCCGCGTGCGGCGATCTGGCGGGGACCCCGAAGCGGCGATCTGAAGGGGGACGTGATGGCGGATGCGGCGACTCCGAAGCTGTTCAAGTGTTGAAAGGTGAAACAGGAGCTCTAGGCCTCTAGGCTCTATATAAAATAACTCAAAAGCTCTACCTGGAAAACCTGGTGTACCTTTTAAATAGTACACTGCTCCAAGTGCACGGTTTTCTGTATTTCCTAACTTGGCTACTGATGCACAAACACTTTGCACATAGCCCAATCCAAAGAAGTGTATACCAAAGAGGCCAACATCACTGGGACAACTTGCATGCGTCATCAACCACCACCAAAATATGAACACAACAACTCCGCCAATAGCAACATTTGTTCATGTTGCCATTCATGTGGGAAGACCTCTCATGTGCCCTCCTTGGGTGTCACCTCAACAAACCTGAATCGCACCCTGCATGTCAATGTCTTTTCTGACTGCGCTTGCCAAAGTGTCCGTGGTGGGCCTACCAATGAGTGAACAACGCAACCCGGTAGCGGTTCAGCGTCCTCTCATGAACCGTTCTGCTGCTAACGACCTGAGACCTGGAGCAGATTTGCCCGACCAAATCCTCGTCCATTTGCGTGCTGAAGGTAAGAGGCGACAAGGAAGTAATTCCGGCACGCTTCTGAACTTCCAGTTCAAAAACAAGCTCAGCAAACATATGATACTTTGGCTGCAACTTCCACCTGCACATATCGAAAGAGTACGCAAGACGCGCGCACGTCATGAACTCAGCCATGAAAGCCCGCCCAGATTGAATTAGGATGTCACGCTCACGATCGTCCAGCCAAAGCGCTCCATGGTATACAGTTCTCATGAACAAGTTGGCATTCTGAAGCAGGCCAGCCATGGACACAAAATATTCACGCACTTTGTCTTCCAGTGCTGGAATCTCTCCAGCAAGCCTTTGTTCCAAGTAAGCAAGGATCGACACTGTGTCTGCTCCTTTGAACCAGTTCCTGAGTCCAAACCACTGTCTCAGGGAAGATGACCAAATGAATGAAACCATAAACACATGGTTGGACAATTTTAATGTAGAAACATTCAAGGAACCCTGCAGGAAATGCACTGGAATTCGCATAGCCCACGATAGTCCGCGTGAGGCTTTGCAAATGCAACTGCAGCGACTCAGCGCGACAGAATGCCTTCAGATCGCTGTAGATAAGCTCAAGGCACTTCTCAACACTCTCATTTTCGTAGACAAAGTCGACCAAGGCCAACTCAGTCAACGGCTATAAGATCACTTTTCTTGAAAAACTATTAACCAAACAGCACACCAACGAACATCCAAAAACGTTGCCCTGTTTGCAGCGAAGATGCGACTGCATTCGCCCCTGCATCGGCCATGACCCCCTTATGGCATGTGTGAAACAAGTCAATGCGAAAAAACAGATGCTTGTAGGCGTCCCCAAGAGCCAGATTGCTCACAATGCCTGGCTCACGCTGCCATGGCATCGGTAACTCAGAGCGCATCTTGGTCATGTTGCCGAAGGAAACATCATGCCAAGCATTTGAAGGCATACCACCTTTACACAAGTGACAAATACCATGTCCACCCTCTTTCGTCGGGGTATCACGAAGATGATGGCGATTTAGCTGCCCGATCTTCACAAGCGCCGGCCAATCGCCTTTGAATGCGATGGGGACAAGCCAGATCCTCTGAAGGGCTCCCTCAAAGTGCACATCCAACCCTTGCTCAAAGAGCATGCGAAGTTCAGTGGCAAGATGGTCCACAAGCCGTAGAAGCGGCTTGGGGTTGGCCTCCTTCTTGCCCTTCTTCCCACTGTAGACATGCGCCATCATGACACTGTAAACCAATCGGGTGCAAAGTGATTTGCCAACAAAATTGACACCAGGCGAATCTTGATCAGCTTTACGCTTCCTTGTCCCATGCCCCATGCACACTTGGGTCTGTAGAACCAGCATCCCTCGTTTCTTTTGAGAGGTACCTTCATCTGCATGTATGCAAATAGGCACACATCGTCCTAAGTGTGACCCATGCAGCTCGAATACAGGATGCATTGGTTGTTGACCACGCCACTTGCTCCAAAAGTCATGGTACTGTTTTGAGGTGTTGCCCATGAAGAACCAAGAATTCATTTTGCCATTCCTGTCCAGGCACTGGATGGTATCACTCAATCTCAGAGTGGGGTGGGAGCAAGTCAATCCCACGTCAACATCAGTAATTGGGATGTCAGCGGTTAGGTTGAATGCCTGAAACTTGTTCGACATCTCACACTCATGACCCGTCTGCGAAAGACGGGAAGCCATTTGCAAAAAACCTTGCGCTTGGTAATCGTGCAGAATCAGTTGAAGATTTGCTCACCTCTTCCCAGAAGGCTGCAGCAATGGTGCAAGCATGTTTTTCACTTACCTCGGAAACTCTTCCCACGCCAAACTCATTTTTTGCAGGATATCTATATACATATATAGCACATGTAGAAACAATAATGAACAATCACCATAAAGCAGGTCGATCCTTGAAAAAGACACTCCAGAAGCTATGGCAGATGCAATCGCTTTTGCTGCTGGGCCAGTGGAAGTTGGAAGCCGCGCTGCGAAGTGGCTCGGTTCGGGTTTGGCACCTGCGCAGGGTAAAGATTGGGAGCCAGCAGTCGTTGGTTGGCTGGTGACCACGGTGACCACGGTCCTACAGGTTGCCGGCTGCCATTTTGCACCCCATCGCAACACTTCACAACCACTGTGGGTTGCCAGAAATCACAATGATGAACATCGCATCACTTGAGTATACCCAAAACGGCCCATAATGGAAGTGTGGCTTGAAGATATCATAAGATAGCACTGAACAAAGCGCATGTGCATGAGTGTATGTGTGGTTTTTGAAACAGATGTCTTGGACTGGACTGTGGAGCGACTTACACCTTACAACCACCTCCCTGGGCCCTGCTACAGCCTTCAAACATCACACGTATGTGACAACGACACGTGTGAATTTCTATAGTGCAAAGACTGCTGTTATATAGCCATGGGGATTCAGGTTGCACTCACTTCAAAGGCAACCGTCGAGGCCATCCAAATTATGACCCAGGTCACGAATGTCTTGGAAACAGAATGCCTTTCTACAACTTCCATGCAGCCTTTACGAGTGCACTCTAGGGCCCACAACAACACATGACTCCGGGCTTACTTGCGAGCTCGTTTGGGTTTCGACTTCGTCGAATCGGCTTCCAGAGCTTCTTGATCCCGCTTTGCCCTCTTTCGAGGCTCAGCGCTAGCTTTGGCGGCAGCCTTTGCCGCTTTGTTTTTCGCCGACGCTGCCTTCTCCTTCGGGACAGGCTTGGTGCGAAGCAGGGTCCTGCAGACGGTAGAAATCAAAAAGCAAAAATACGATTCGAAAGATTCCAGAAGCAATCACACTCACGATCATACGCAGTAAATTGTCAAGAGAGTATTAAGCACGATACTTTCTCAGTTTGACCTCTTCCATCAAAGCTCGGGAAGACCTTCGCAATATTTTGGGATCTGGTAATGTTCATGCGATGGTATGCGTTCATAAATGCAAAGGTCAAGTGAGGGCCAGGCTCCATCTCAATGCTTCCCACGAGCGTCTTGAGCGCATCAATTTTCCTAACATTTGCAGGACCACATGTTTGAGGGTGACACAGCCCACTACTTTTGTAAAATTCAAACCCTGATCTCTGAAGCTAAGTTTCTCCTTGGCGGGGTCAAGACAACACACACTCTGGGCATCAAAATAAGATTTGAGATCAGCCAATTCGTCATGGAGTGAGACCAGCTTCGATTTGAAGCCAGCAATCTTCTCACCACTCCTTATCTGACAGCTTGGTTGCTTGGACTGGTGGGGCGGGCCAAAATGAACTATCCGCAACACACATTATACAGGTAAGGTTCTGCTTCGCTTCAGGAGTATTCAAGTTGTTCAGCTTCTCCAAAAGTGTCTCCATTTTGGATTGGGTCTTCAACAGGTTGCCCATAACGGTACTCACGTTATCCACCGCCTCACATGTATTAGAGCGATCGAGTTGGAATGGGTTGGAGTATACTCAATGAAACTGCATATAAACATTCCCAAGCCATGTATGCTACTGCCTCAAGCGCGCTTTCTAATTCCAAAGGTTTGCCGCCGGGGCCCACGGTGGTCCTAGCATCATCCTGATCCTCATCCTCTAACCCATTCTCATCTTCCTCCTCCTCTTCAGGCACACCGGGTGGCATCACTGGCTGAATGCCAAGATCAAAGGTGGCCGCTTGGCCCTCGACGCAAGTCCGATCTGTCAGGCTCTCTTCATGCTCGTTATCGAAGCTCCCAGTGGTCTCAACATCAACCCAATACTCTTTCACGTTACTCTCGTACTTGTCCCGCCTGCCAAGGGATGCCACTCATAGTTTTAACTCCACAAATATTGAAAGCAAACAATGCTTATAGACCAACACTGTTTGTGCATCAAGCAACCCACGAGAACGCTGTAAAACAAAATACTATATATATATAACTGCGTTTGGAACAACAAACCCCTCCTGACATGGGTTTTGACCCGCGATGGGTGGGTACAGTATTGCACTGCCTTTGCAATTCGTGTCCTCAGAAACCATGAGCTTCCCCAAAAAGGATTCTCATGAGGGACCATGCATGACCATGCATATATATATATATATGTGAAAGGATTACACTGAGGTTCTGACGCACTCCATCCAAGTTTTTTCTTCATGTTTTCCTTGGTGTAGAACCCCGAGTCTACATGGATCTTGGTTTTGCGGCTCCGACGCTGCATATGCTCGATGTGTTTCTTGAACGCCTCCTGCATGCATCGCAAAAAAGTTAAGACCAACAACCCATCGTTCAAAGTTGTTCACATGCACACTGACCCAAAAGAGCGTGACCAAGCCCGATCCTTATCCCCATTGACACTGGCCAACACATCCAATAGAGCCTTCCGCTGTGATCCCCCTGCTAGCCACTTCTTGTAGATGTCCTGACTCACCTCAAGCTTACCCGAACCCCTTT